TGGCCTCGAACTCACAGAGATCCGCCTGGCTCTGCCTCCCGAGTGCTGGGATTAAAGGCGTGCGCCACCACCGCCTGGCTCACTTTACCTTTTTACAGGCATGTTCCCAAGCACCTAAGACTTCCCACTTAGGAGGCTGAGGCAGATAGAATGTGAATTTCATCCTTAACTCTAGGTGGGCACAGTTCTGTAATAATGGATAGCAGATCTCTCCACAACTCCGCCGTTTGAAGGCATCAGGACTAGATTTCTAACAGCATTTGGCACCCAGCAATCAGCCATTTGATGACGCGGTTCTGGGGGTCTCTCCTTAAAGAGGAGCCGGTGACCTGGAGGGGATCTGCGCTCACACACGCTGGTTCTGAATCCGACACTGACAGTTTCTTCTTCCTCCTCAGGCTTCCGGCTGCGATGGGGCGGAGATTCCGGATGAAGTGAAGCTGATCGGGTTTGCTCAGCTGAGTGTGAGCTGATGTATGTCCCCCTCTGTCACCCTCATCTATCATGCCCCACCTCTTCCAGCCCTCCCCCCACCCCCGCCTCCTTCTCCCCTCCCCCTCACTCCCAGTTCCCAACAAAATAAGAAGATTGTGAAGAGGCTGGCTTCGATGACGTGGGATAAAAAAAAAAAATACTTTTTTACAAACTTAGAGCACTCTGAGTTCTGCTTTCTTCTCCAGCAATCCACAGTCTGAGAACAGGCACGTGCCGCTGCCCGACGGTTGCCGACTTCTTTCCAGAAAGCTGTTTAATATTCTTAGCAGTCTCAATTTGGATAGCCCGTAAGAGAGGAGTCTGAAACACACTCAGGTGGTCCTGTCTCTTGCTAACAAAAGGAATCTTCTACCTGAAGCCTTTTCTCCTTCTATTGTATTTCTGTTTAATACTTTAATTGTACATCTGACAATACTGCCTCTCTTATGTTGTACTTAGAAATTAATATACTTATAAAATTCAGATTTATTAGCCAAACTTGAATTCTAGTTTTAAAACTGACTGTGAATTTTATTTTTCATATATTTATGCTTTCCACACCTTAGCGATGAGGGAACCAGTTTTCATCATATGCTTCCTGCAGTTGATCTCTGGTTCTTTAAACCAAAATTTCAGGTCTATCTTTGGAGTATTTGTAACTTCTAATTTTTGAAATGACTGAATTAAGAATTTGGATGTTTGCTCTTTTGGTTTGTTTGCCTAAAATCCAGTCCACAATCCAGTTGTCTCTTGGGAGAGGGAGGTGCCTTGCAAACTTTCATATTACGAATGTGCCTGAGGCTGCTTTACTCTGGAATAGTCTCAGATCTAAAACCTGCACTCCATAAGGTGGCATACTTAAATTTTGCTTCATACGAACATTTAGAATACTATAAAAACATTGCCATTCTGTTAGATTGTTAACTACACCCTTGTCTCTGATTTGGCTCTCCTGAGGTGACGGGATTTGTTATTTTTAAGGTGATAAACATGACAGCACCAGAATCTGAGTTCTACTTGAAACTCTGCAGAATACACAGATGGTGTGAAAATAATAGAAAGGGTTTTGTGCAATGACAAAAGGTAAAATTGCTGTAAACATTCAAGAATAAATATTTCCAACCCAAGAACCTTCTGCTTGACTATGTATTATGAACCTAGTGAACGTTAGGATTTTCAAATTCGGAGTCTAAACCTTCGAGGAGGTGGGCTCCCGGGATGGTACCATTGCTCTTTCCTAGCTAACCCTAGATACGGCAGCTCTTTAATGTACTTTAAAAGCAAATATATATTACTAAGGAAAGAAGTTATTTATAATTGCCTTGTCATAATTGTTAAGGTGTTCTAGAACCATTTGCATACAGTTTAATGTAATTCCATTCCATTCTGTTGTTTACACAATTACTCAAAGATGACTGCAAAGGTAAAAGGAAATAAAAGTGTATTGCACAGTGCAGTGGTGTCTCCTCCTTTCCCTTCCCCCTCCACCTGTCCTCAGAGTCCCTGCAGTGCAATTCAACACCCTCAGATGCCCTCACAAGCTGACTCATGAGAAGTGTCCCCCAGGAAGAATGGCGTGTCTGTCTGTGCCATCAGTCACAGAGCACAGGTTTTACTGGTAACTGAAACATTCACAGTATTTGAAACTATTGGGGCTTCAAGGAACAAAAGAGAACAAGTCCTTCCAACTACTTTCCCATTCACATTAGTGCTAGGAATACTGAGGACAGTCCAGAGTAGTTAAGTAACTTACGGGGCACTTCACAGAGATGCTTGCAATGCTGGGCATGCTTGATCCTGGTTCCCAGCCTAAAGAAGACATTCTTAACAGTTTTCCGTACAACTTGGGAATAAGAGCAGTCCCAGACGTTGAAGGTAAGTCCCTATTGCTGAAGACTCCACACACTTTGGACATAGGATACGGAGGCCTTGACCTAGAATTAGCCTCAAATCCTCCTCTTTGGAGATTAGCCTTGACAGTGCCAGGAGGTGCTATGCAACCTAAGGGAGGAAGTCAATCATTAGTCCTCCCCCCCCCTCCGCCCCCGTGACAGCTATGAACCACAACAAGCACCAGCATGGCAAGCTACCCCTAAAGGTGCAACAGTGGCCCTCACCTCTCCGAGTAAACCAACCACTCCCTAAGGGTACTCAAGGCCCGCTTAATGGGTGGGAAATCATACACAACACATGGCTAGTGAGGTCATAAATCTTAGAGAAGAAACCTATTCCTGCCACTTTGCTAGACCAATATAATTCCAGTCTGCATTCTAAATACTTACTTATCCTTATACCTCTTACTGTAGCCCTCTCCTCTCACCAAAGAAGCTTCCTTTTGCTGCAGAAGGTGACCATTGCAGAAAGCCACGACTAGGTAAAATGCAGAGAAGAACTGAATGTGGGGAGCTCCTTTGCTCCAAGTGATATATCTTACAACATGGCTCCTGTAATTAACTAGGTCTCGGGGAACATCTTGGAAGAGAGGACAGGAAGGTTGTCAGAGCCAGGAGGCCAGGGAGTCTTCTGTGAGATTGTGCCTCCTAGGTGTGGCAGGGAAGTTCCTCATATGAAATCTCAACAACATGGATACCTAAACCAGACCAGAACGATGCCAGCACCAGTTGACAACCTGACAGAGATGGGAAGTCTCACAGGGCTCTATGATGAAGAGAGTGACAAGCAATTACCAACTCCTGAGAGAGGGAGAATTAGCTTCCCCAGGGATGAGCCCCCTGATTGGGTGTCCAGTCTACAGTGGTGAGCATCATATGCAGGCAACACAAATGGACTCAGCAGATTAAACTTGCCTGGTTACTCATTTAGATGTATATGCTACACAATTGTTAGAGGGGGTAAACGGGGATGTAGACAGGAGGAGAGGGAAGTAGGAAATTATGTAATATTTTAATTAAGAAAGAACAACATGACTTTCACATTCTCTTAGAATGACTGAGGAGCTTTGCACCATGATAACAAGTATTTAATTTCTATATCCATACCCATACACTCATGTTTTTCCTAATAGCAGGTGCATGCATTCACGTAATAGGGTAAAGATTTTAAAGCACATGAGAATTCAGGATAAATGGACAATAAGGTTTGCTTAACAAGCAAAGATAAAGTTGGAACACAAAATTCATCACAAGAGTTTACTTAATTGGAAAAATACACAGAGTTGGACTAACTCTTCCTAACCAATATACTGCCTCACTACCAACAATGCAAAGGGTTCTACAGAATCAGTTAATCAACGTGGTGCCTATCAAAATTCCAAAGTTCTATTTTTCATATCAATTGAAAAAATAAAATGGGTATAGAACAACAAAATCCCAGTCTTAAGAAGAGACAGCCTCATCCAGTAACTGATAGAAGCAGGTGCAGAGATTCACAGCCAAGCACCAGGCCAAGTTCTGGGAGTCCAATCAAAGAGGGAAGAAGGATTCTATGAGCAGGCGATGGTCAAGATCATGGTGGGGAAATCTACAGAGATAACTGAACCAAGCTTGTTGGAACTCAACAAACTTTAAACCAACAGCTGTGGAAACTGCATGGGACTGGACTAAGCCCTCTGCATATGAAAGACAGTTGTGTAGCTTGGTCTGTTTGAGGGGCCCCTGGCAGTGGGATCTGGATCTTTCCCTGGTGCATGTGCTGGCTTTTTAGAGCCCATTACCTATGGTGGGACACCTTGCTCAGACTTGATGCAGGGGATGGGGGAGGGGCTTGGTCCTGACTCAACTGAATGTGCCAGGCTTTATTGACTCCCCATGGGAGCACTTACCCTTTGGAGGAGGGGGTTGTGGGGAGCAGGAGGAGGGATGAGAGGGGGATCTGTGGTTAGTATGTAAAATGAATAACAAAATTTCTTAAAAAAAAACCTGTCATATTTCCTGTTTTCAATATTTATAAAGCTTTGGTCATCTATAACCTAAGACCAAACCATTATGAACACAGCTGATCTCTGATCTCAAGAAGCTAAACAGGCAAGGGCCTTTTAGTACTTGGATAGGAGACAAAGCTTTGATAATACAAGTATTATTGTGCTGTCATAAAATAGACCTGCAGCTCCCTCCCTCAAGCAGGGTAGAGATCCCAGAAATAAGTATATACATGCGTGATCAACTTACTAAAAAGAATACCAAAAGATACATAAGAAAGGACTGTGTCTGTGGTGAAGGATACTGGAAAGATCAGACTTCCACATGCAGAAAGATGCAACTGAATACTTTTCCTACATCATTTACAATATCACCTATTGTGGGCTAAGATTTAAAATCTAAGTCCTGAAATTGTAAAATACCTAGAGTAAAATGGGACATCTCTGGAATTGCATTGATCTTGATAATTAGTTGTTTGGATGTGATACCCAAAACACAAATGACACACACACACACACACACACACACACACACACACACACACACACACGCAGAAATAAGCAAATTGACCTACATCAAACTAAAAGGTTTCTACACAGCAAGAGAAATAATCAACAAATAAAAAGGGGGACTGATAGATTTGATGACAGCATTTGCAAATCATGTATCTGAAAAATTAATATCCAAAGTTTATAGGAACTAGTTAGGAAAATAGCTCATTGGTTAAAAACAATTGTTCTTGTGGAGGACCTGGGTTAAGTTCCTAGCACACACATGATGGCTCACAAACATCCATAACTTGGGCTCCAGGGGATCCAACAACCTTTTTGAACCTCTGCACGCACCAAGCACCCGCATGGTACATGTACATACTTTCAGGCTAAACACTCACTAAATAAATCTAAAAAGAAAATAAATGTATATGGAGAACTCAGTACAGTTGGGGTTGTACGTGTCTGTAATCCCAGAGCTATTAAAAGGCAAAGACAGGAGGGTCATGAGTTCCAGATCTTCCTGAGATTGAATACATATACTTGGAATTCACTGTTGTATATCCTAACTGTTCTCACCATGCATAAAAATATGTGAAGTATTTGAAGAGATAGAGGTATAGGTTTTCATGATTGTAGAGATCAGTATACCATGTATATCAAAATCTGTACAACTTAAATATGATTTCACTTTCCAACTAAAAAGAAATAAAAGAAATGCTGGTCACATGCAAATTGTATGTAAGGATTTTCTATTGTCTATTGGTAGGAGCTAAAAATTGCAGGGTAATGATTTTTATTTGAAGAGGATTTCCTCAAAGTTGTTGCAGTCATTCCTAGGGTTTTTCAGCTTGAGATGTATCCTATCAAGTATGGTTATAATGATTATAATGTTCAATTTATGTTAATGTTTAAGTTGTGTAATGCAAGTGGATTATAGGTGTATATGTTTATATCATGATTAAATGACTGGCTTGCTCAACCCTTTAGACACAGTATTGGCTTGTATACAAATCAAGCTTGTATTCAACACATCATTCAGAAAAGTGCTTACCCAGCCCATAAGAATGGGCAAGCAAAAAAAAAAAAAAAGTTGGGTAAAAGTGTCTGTCTCCAAAATACCCCATTAATTGCCTAGATGCAATTCTGCTGCAAAGAAATTGTATAACCAAGCAGTAATGATGTCCTTTTATCTATTTTCTTCTGCCTTGTCCACCAAACCTACCTACAGCTAGTCTGAGAAACTAAGAGTAGTGAAACTACAATCCGAACAGCTAGGTCATACACCCCTGAATGTTAGGCCCAAACCAATGAATGCCGCTTTAGTTAGGAATACTCATGAGAACAAGGTCCATACAACCAAGAAAGGTACACCAAAGGTTACAACCTGAATCTGAAATGTTCCCCCCACCCCATACTCATGTAATGAAAATATGCTCCCCTTTGTTGGTGTTATTTTAGGATGTTGTGAAACCTTTAGAAGAGTGATCTGGCCTAACTAGCAAAAATACATCCTAAGGATGGGACTTTAAAGGATATGCTGTCCAGCCTTGGGTTGCAGCATGGCCTCTGCTTTCTGGTCCACCATGATGTGAACAGCCTCACAAGACTGCTGCAGTGACCTCCCCATCACGATGGATTGAAACCATGTTCAAAAATCCTTCCCTTGAATTCTTTTTGCAAATGGACTCATAGCAACATGAAAGTAATCCATACCCCCCAAAAATGTCTCCCTGAATGAATTATAGCCTCTAAAAAACATCATTATCTGAAGAAACTTATTGAGCTCATAACTCATAATTCATTGAAGGGCAAAGAATGTTATTTAAATTTACAGTCTTGTGCAGTTATTGGATTTATTACTGAATAATGAAAGGCCAGCGACAGTTATTGGGATGGTACTTTTTTCCCTCATATAGAATACTGACTTGAGGAACAAAGATGTGTATTACAGAGGAAAATTATTTTAGAAATGACTTATTCTTCAAGCAGTGTTGAGTAAACTAATGAAGCCCTAATCTAGGAGAAGTAGGATAGAACCTTTTAAAAGGCCCTGGGTCCAGCCAGGCAGTGGTGCTGCACACC